GACAGAAGACGAGAAAAAAGAAAATTTACATACTGAAGTACTAATAGTTCACGAAAATAATAATTTTTGTGAACTATTAGTACTTAAGTACGTAAAAATTTATTACATTTCATGTTGTATGAGGGTTTTACCCATTTCTCGAACCGTGTTAGAGTGAATCCGTGCTATAGAAGTGCCGTGTTATATGGGGTTACCTGTACTTACAATATATGTCTTTATCAATTGGCAGAATTTATAAGTGAAAATATACTGTCATTAATTGCATTGAATATACAAATGTCTTTCTTACCTTTAATATCAGAGGAGTCATGTATAGTAGGTGTGTCTTCTAACTAGTACCTTTTCTATTACAGTTTATTCAATGGTAATAAAATTATTATGAGTAGATATGGTTAAACCAATTTCTACAAATAATAACTTTGTTTGAATCAACTTCCATGAACCAATTTCCTATCATTTCTTCAGAATATATGTATATATTTCATCCTCTATCCTCATATTTCATTCTCTATCGGAGAGAATTTTAGGAAGGAATTAAAGAAAATTTCTTTAATTCCTTCCTAAAATTTGTTTAAACCAGTTGAGCCAATGTTGATTTTTTTACTTCTCGTTAAATATGAAATCAAATCTACTATATGACTTCCAAAAACTGGTTTACTGTTGAATATTAATTCTTTAAAATTCCCATCAGTATTAATTTTGATTCATTTTGTGGGAATAAATTTTTATACAATTGATGAATTGATATAATTATTTGTTTAATAAGTAAGTCATCATCTCTGCTTTTAGGAATTGTTTCTCCAAGTTGATTTTAGTTCAAAACAGCAGAAACTTTAATTGAGTCTTTGGGTGCATAAACTGTTTTCTGTTACCTTGAAATTAATTGACTTATTATTAATTATATATGTTCAAGAAGCTACATGTCTATTTATGTAACAGAGATAACCAATCTCAGTTTTCATATGAAAATAATATACTCCAAAGTGTATTGAATCTATGCTGCTGCTATCCTAGAGCAATTTATAACCATAGTTTAGAAAATCATTTATTTTAAAACCATTATGTAGACCAGGGGTGTCCAACCTTTCTGTTTCTTTGGGCCACATTGGAAGAAGTCATGGAGTTCTGGGCCACAAGTTTATTGTGGCCTAATCCTTAAATATACAAGTATATTAAAGGATTTACATGTCTAGATTATAGTAATAAGTATTAAAACTTTATCACGAAAAGGATATTTTAAAAAATTACTTCTACAGACACTTTTAATTTCTACTTAGAAATAGATAAATTTACTTATTATAAAAGAGACTAAAGAAAATCTATTTGAAAAACACAAATATTTGTTTTATTTGGGTCTTTAATTAATAAAAAAACAACAAAAAACAATTTTAAAGTGCATTTTTATTCAACAAATATATTTATAAATAATATGTAGCCCAAAATGTAGCCAATGCGCCAAATGTTTTTTACGTCAAACTAAAAAAAGGGTAGCCAAATTTGACAATGCTGAAAAGAATATTAAATAATGCTGGAGTTGGTATTCAAAAGATTATAGACCTTCTGTTATGCAAATATTGATCCTTAATTTCCCAACCTTTCTCAATTCTTTTTGTTTTTTTTGCCTTTCTCTTCTTTTTCTGAATTTGGGGCTATAATCCTCTGAGTCACGACTTCAGCTTTATTTAGTATTCCTTCCTCATTCACACATTTCAAGTATTTGAAAATATTTCCTTTCTATTAAAAAATAAAATATGTATAAAGGTTTAGGGCTTTGTGAAACTTCTTTTTTGAGGTTTATACTGTTTAAATAAATAAATAAAATAAATAAATAATAAAATTTGTCAGTTTTGTTTATTGTGCCGCAATAGAACTTCCCTTGGGCCACAGGTTGGACACCCCTGATGTAGACATTAAAGTAAATTTTATTGCAATGTGTCATAAACGTTTTAATTTTGATACAATTATTTATGAGATACAACTAAAACAAATTGAATTAAAAAATTAATTGAAATCATTATTTTTAACATAGTACAAAAATGAAATAATTTATTAATTTAATAATTTAATTTTGTGAGAGTATTAAACATAAGATCATGTTAATAATCAAACACATGGATTTGATTAATGTGTTTTGATTAATAACACAATCTTGTGTTTAATATTCTTTAAAAATAGTACAACATGGTTTTGAAAAACAAATAATTTAATTTTAATTCTTTAAATAATATATTTATGTATGAAAGGAATTAAAAAATACTTTAAAATGATCAACCTGGAATCTTTAATAAATTTTACTACTGCTTATATTGCATCTTCAGAAAACTTAAGCCTCCAAAGTTTTATGACTATTTTTAATATTACAAAATACAGTTTTAATTAAAATATATCTAAAAACAAAAAATAGGAACACACTATAGAAAACTAAAAATAAATATCTGTTCAGTCAGAACACTAAAATGAAAAATTGAAATAAATCATATATATTTTATTTGTTTAACCAAATTTATTTCATTCATTTCAAACTTACACCTACATAGAGCTATAAACAATGTTCAACACCTACAAATAATTGATAAAATATATATGCTGATACGCAAACCATAAGTGATGAATCACTTAGTTATTCTGTAGGATGTGAATTAATTTTACAATTTGTACTGTTTTAATGGAAACTATAAATGAAAGCAATTTGTGAATGTTTATCCAAAAATATGTAAAAAATTTGATTTTAATGTTTTATGTCAATAATTAATCAATGAAAATTAGGAATCTGGAGTTTTATTGTCCCAGAAAATGCAGAATTTCTCTCTGAAAATTGGAATAACTAAGAGTCTAAGTATAAAAAAATTATCATTCATTTGAACAGATTTTAAAACTTCATAAAATTCCAGCACAGTAACAATAAAACCTAATTTTTAAATTCAAAAAATATTAATAGTTGAAAAACTTATTAAAATTGTTAAAATTTCAGATTGTTATTTTGGCTTTCTGCAATTCTTAAAATATGGCACTTTGTACTTGAATTATTCATTTATTTAATAAATTGTGTTATTTTAATAATAAAATTTATTGAAAGAATTAAACCAATTTTTTTTATTTAGATAAAATTTTATTAAAAACTATTAAAAGTCTGTAATTTAAAGAATTCTTTGAATAATTTCAAATATTAAAACAATTTGAAATTATTTGATTTTATTGAATCTTATCTTCAAGGATTTAAAAACTTAAAAATAATTTTTAAGTTTTTAAATCTCTGAAGATAAGTAAAGAACTTGAAAGCAAAATTATTAAACCTAAACACTAATAAGTAATAGTCTGATAACATAACTTTTGAATTTTTGAAATTTAATTTTGAAATTTTGGCATTTTGATTGTTGGATATATATTATACTAGCCATATATAAAATATTCAGTATGACTNGATACGATCTCAGTTTCGGAACGGATTAATTTCGTATCCTGAGGTACCACTGTATAGGATTATGACATTCATAAACAAGGAATTTCAACAAGAGCAATTAGTCAACCATATTACATAATTTTTTTTCATTCATAATTGCATATTTTTGATTACTCAGACATAATTTTTAAATTCATTTACATCTGTTTAATCTTATGGTCAAAGCATTATTAGTTCCTCAATCTATAAGTAATCTTTGAATAGTTTGAAATGTCACATTAGAATTTAAATATTTCATAATATTTTGTGACTAATATGTTTTGATAGATTAAAAATAAGTGTTAACAAAACAGAAAAATAAGTATTTTTGATGCAATTATAATATAACTATGCAATATTTTTGTGTAATTTATATTATTTCATTAGTTAAATTTTCTAGTATGTCCATATTTAAATTATTTACTAATATGTGTATATATTTATTATTTTATATTTATTTAGAAAAAGTGCATGAAATTTTTACTAGTGCAGGACTCCTAAAAGAACAAAATTTCATTGATCGTCGTTTGCAAGTGAATCGTGGAAAACTCTTAAAAATGTATCGTGTTTGGATACAATGTAAATACAGGAAGCCATTGTACTCTTGATTTAGTACTTATTTTATAATGTCATCTGTTTATTGTAAAATAAATTTATTTATTTACAATCATTTTATGATCTATTTATTTGTCAATGTGAAGCACTAAGTAACTGATAATATACAGATATTATCAGTTATTTAGCCAGCCGTCAGAAGTGGAACTGATTTTGAAATGGTATTTGGCCATCCATATTACTGAGAGATGTGGAAAAATCCTCAATCTATATAACCTGTAATAAATTATGAAAGTCTAAATTAACTTTGATTCTAGTTCAACTTACAACTAACCTTCTGGCTGACTTATAAATTTATAGATTAGGATAATAATACTTACATGATAGTCATATATTTAGAAAATTTTAACAATTTCTTAGTTCTTGTTATCCAATGTTTTGTTAATTAATTTAACATATTTTTACTTTTATCAAAGCAAAGCCAAATACTCTGTTAAAATACTATTAAACCTTTCAACTAGTCTATTATTAATATTATTTTTTTCCAAGTGGATTTACCTAATCCATACATTGAGCAATTTCATTAAAAAATAAAACACTTAATAAAAAATTTCTGTCCTTTTTAGAATAAAACAATAATGCATCTAATATAGCACAATATGGATAATTGACTTTGGAAATTACTTGTTTATCATTTAGAAGCATTTAACAACATTCAGAAATTAAACTGTTTCAGAAATAATTAATTTGAGAAACTATTCCTTCAGATGTAGTGTTTGTATTTTTTTTTTTTCTTTCTTTTTTTTTTTAACAATCTTGGCTTGAATATGAAGAGAAATCAAATGAAGATCAATGTAATTTTTACCAGAAACAGATATAGAAATTTCAATAGGAGAGTGACTATCAGAAATTGTAGCTACTGGATGAACTATATCTGAAGTATTATCTATCAACAGCTGGTTGTGTTGAAACAGTACCATATCCAATTTGCTTTTAGTATATGAATATGAATGTGGATCTGTTTTAGTCCAACACATCTTGGGAGTTTCAACTTCTTGCTTCATGACTGATTTCATTTTTTAAATTGCCTTCTTTTTTTCCATTCTTCCTTGTACCTTTTTAGAAGCATTATCTGATTTCAAATCCAGTGTCTTTTAAACGAGAGTTTTCAGATTCTTTAAGTGATTTGTCAGCAATTATACCTTATCCACCATTAGAAATAAAATTTAAGATTTTTACAATCAGTATATCTTTCTGATCTCCAAAAAACCATATCCTCATTGTATCTGACATTCTTTAAAACAATTTCTACTTCCACTCTGTTTAAAAAGTTCTTTAAAAAATTCTCATTAATTAAAATGGAATTTTGAAGTTCTGCACAAATTGAGATTCCATGTGGTGCCATTGGTTGCAATAATATTTTATAGTCTTTTGGATCAAACTTCATTTTCCTTTTTTCATGCTTTTCAAAACTAAGTAGATTAATTTTAATTCCAAAATAAACTAGTATTTAGATGTGCTTAAGACTTTTTCCACCTGAAAAAATTAACTGGCAGTATCTATATCAATTTCTATAGTATCAATATAAATTTTCTACAAAGAAAAATATAATGGTGATTTACAAACTATTTGATTGTTTTCCCCCCTCCCATAATAATAGAACAGTTATGTTTCCAATATGGTGAGAAGCACTAATGTTTGAATAAAGAAAATTTCTGTTAATCTTACTGACAAATTGATGGGATAATCATTTATGTTTCTTCATAAGAAAATTTTATTTTTAAATCCTAAGTAGAGGAAACAACTAAAAATTTTTTGAAGAAGAATATAATCCAATTTGAATAAAATTCTCTTCATTTCTGTACATCTTTTTACGTTTTTTTACTTTCTCTCTTTCTACTAAAGCAAAAACTATTTGGCAGTATTTGCAGTTGTTTAAAGTCTATTTATTTCTAACACTACTGTATTTGGTAAATTTAACACATAAAATTGTTCCAAATCATGAACTCTTGTAAATATGAAATTTGTGTTTGATGTACAGGTAACCCCCATATAACACGGTAGTTATGTTCCAAAAAATTGCCATGTTATACGAATCTGTGTTATGCAAAACAAAGAACTAGTACAAAAAGGAGGGTTAGGTTCCAAAAATTAAAAAACATGCTACTATATTTTTATAATTAAGATAAATATGTTTATTAAAATTTTCTTAAGTGATACATATTAATTAATATGTTAAATTAAACAATGTTTTCTTTGTCATCACTAAAAGCACTATTAACCGAGAGCGTTTTCTTTTTGGCAAGTTATCATTATCCTCTGAGCATTTTTCTGCATTATTTTCAGATTCATGCTTTACCTTTTGCAAAAAGTGTATGTAATTTTAGATTGCTTGCTTCTAGTTAAAAGATCTTTATAAATTTCCTTATATGGTGCTAAGCACTTATGGAATAACGGAAAAACATCTGACAACACCAGAAGCAGAAGCGTCGAGATATGGCAAAATTGAAACAATTTTCGCGAAGGACCATGTGTATGGAGACGAGAAAAGAAAATTTACACATTGAAGTACTAATAGTTCACGAAAATAATAATTTTTGTGAACTATTAGTACTTAAGTACGTAAAAATTTATTACATTTCATGTTGTATGAGGGTTTTACCCATTTCTCGAACCGTGTTAGAGTGAATCCGTGCTATAGAAGTGCCGTGTTATATGGGGTTACCTGTACTTACAATATATGTCTTTATCAATTGGCAGAATTTATAAGTGAAAATATACTGTCATTAATTGCATTGAATATACAAATGTCTTTCTTACCTTTAATATCAGAGGAGTCATGTATAGTAGGTGTGTCTTCTAACTAGTACCTTTTCTATTACAGTTTATTCAATGGTAATAAAATTATTATGAGTAGATATGGTTAAACCAATTTCTACAAATAATAACTTTGTTTGAATCAACTTCCATGAACCAATTTCCTATCATTTCTTCAGAATATATGTATATATTTCATCCTCTATCCTCATATTTCATTCTCTATCGGAGAGAATTTTAGGAAGGAATTAAAGAAAATTTCTTTAATTCCTTCCTAAAATTTGTTTAAACCAGTTGAGCCAATGTTGATTTTTTTACTTCTCGTTAAATATGAAATCAAATCTACTATATGACTTCCAAAAACTGGTTTACTGTTGAATATTAATTCTTTAAAATTCCCATCAGTATTAATTTTGATTCATTTTGTGGGAATAAATTTTTATACAATTGATGAATTGATATAATTATTTGTTTAATAAGTAAGTCATCATCTCTGCTTTTAGGAATTGTTTCTCCAAGTTGATTTTAGTTCAAAACAGCAGAAACTTTAATTGAGTCTTTGGGTGCATAAACTGTTTTCTGTTACCTTGAAATTAATTGACTTATTATTAATTATATATGTTCAAGAAGCTACATGTCTATTTATGTAACAGAGATAACCAATCTCAGTTTTCATATGAAAATAATATACTCCAAAGTGTATTGAATCTATGCTGCTGCTATCCTAGAGCAATTTATAACCATAGTTTAGAAAATCATTTATTTTAAAACCATTATGTAGACCAGGGGTGTCCAACCTTTCTGTTTCTTTGGGCCACATTGGAAGAAGTCATGGAGTTCTGGGCCACAAGTTTATTGTGGCCTAATCCTTAAATATACAAGTATATTAAAGGATTTACATGTCTAGATTATAGTAATAAGTATTAAAACTTTATCACGAAAAGGATATTTTAAAAAATTACTTCTACAGACACTTTTAATTTCTACTTAGAAATAGATAAATTTACTTATTATAAAAGAGACTAAAGAAAATCTATTTGAAAAACACAAATATTTGTTTTATTTGGGTCTTTAATTAATAAAAAAACAACAAAAAACAATTTTAAAGTGCATTTTTATTCAACAAATATATTTATAAATAATATGTAGCCCAAAATGTAGCCAATGCGCCAAATGTTTTTTACGTCAAACTAAAAAAAGGGTAGCCAAATTTGACAATGCTGAAAAGAATATTAAATAATGCTGGAGTTGGTATTCAAAAGATTATAGACCTTCTGTTATGCAAATATTGATCCTTAATTTCCCAACCTTTCTCAATTCTTTTTGTTTTTTTTGCCTTTCTCTTCTTTTTCTGAATTTGGGGCTATAATCCTCTGAGTCACGACTTCAGCTTTATTTAGTATTCCTTCCTCATTCACACATTTCAAGTATTTGAAAATATTTCCTTTCTATTAAAAAATAAAATATGTATAAAGGTTTAGGGCTTTGTGAAACTTCTTTTTTGAGGTTTATACTGTTTAAATAAATAAATAAAATAAATAAATAATAAAATTTGTCAGTTTTGTTTATTGTGCCGCAATAGAACTTCCCTTGGGCCACAGGTTGGACACCCCTGATGTAGACATTAAAGTAAATTTTATTGCAATGTGTCATAAACGTTTTAATTTTGATACAATTATTTATGAGATACAACTAAAACAAATTGAATTAAAAAATTAATTGAAATCATTATTTTTAACATAGTACAAAAATGAAATAATTTATTAATTTAATAATTTAATTTTGTGAGAGTATTAAACATAAGATCATGTTAATAATCAAACACATGGATTTGATTAATGTGTTTTGATTAATAACACAATCTTGTGTTTAATATTCTTTAAAAATAGTACAACATGGTTTTGAAAAACAAATAATTTAATTTTAATTCTTTAAATAATATATTTATGTATGAAAGGAATTAAAAAATACTTTAAAATGATCAACCTGGAATCTTTAATAAATTTTACTACTGCTTATATTGCATCTTCAGAAAACTTAAGCCTCCAAAGTTTTATGACTATTTTTAATATTACAAAATACAGTTTTAATTAAAATATATCTAAAAACAAAAAATAGGAACACACTATAGAAAACTAAAAATAAATATCTGTTCAGTCAGAACACTAAAATGAAAAATTGAAATAAATCATATATATTTTATTTGTTTAACCAAATTTATTTCATTCATTTCAAACTTACACCTACATAGAGCTATAAACAATGTTCAACACCTACAAATAATTGATAAAATATATATGCTGATACGCAAACCATAAGTGATGAATCACTTAGTTATTCTGTAGGATGTGAATTAATTTTACAATTTGTACTGTTTTAATGGAAACTATAAATGAAAGCAATTTGTGAATGTTTATCCAAAAATATGTAAAAAATTTGATTTTAATGTTTTATGTCAATAATTAATCAATGAAAATTAGGAATCTGGAGTTTTATTGTCCCAGAAAATGCAGAATTTCTCTCTGAAAATTGGAATAACTAAGAGTCTAAGTATAAAAAAATTATCATTCATTTGAACAGATTTTAAAACTTCATAAAATTCCAGCACAGTAACAATAAAACCTAATTTTTAAATTCAAAAAATATTAATAGTTGAAAAACTTATTAAAATTGTTAAAATTTCAGATTGTTATTTTGGCTTTCTGCAATTCTTAAAATATGGCACTTTGTACTTGAATTATTCATTTATTTAATAAATTGTGTTATTTTAATAATAAAATTTATTGAAAGAATTAAACCAATTTTTTTTATTTAGATAAAATTTTATTAAAAACTATTAAAAGTCTGTAATTTAAAGAATTCTTTGAATAATTTCAAATATTAAAACAATTTGAAATTATTTGATTTTATTGAATCTTATCTTCAAGGATTTAAAAACTTAAAAATAATTTTTAAGTTTTTAAATCTCTGAAGATAAGTAAAGAACTTGAAAGCAAAATTATTAAACCTAAACACTAATAAGTAATAGTCTGATAACATAACTTTTGAATTTTTGAAATTTAATTTTGAAATTTTGGCATTTTGATTGTTGGATATATATTATACTAGCCATATATAAAATATTCAGTATGACTGACACAAAAAAAAAAATCTCTCATTCATTAAATCTATAATACTTGAATGTTGTGTCTAAAAAAAATAAATAAATCTTGTCAAGTGTGTTTTCTCAATAAACTTCTATTGAAATTATATAAAAAATTGTGATATGAGCAGTTTGATCATTGATTCCAAATAAAATAAAATTAGAATTACATATAAATAAGAAATATTGTACAGTTACTATCAATTAGTATAGTTATATTTGGATAATGGAAACTGTTGATATCAAAAAATTTTATCCAAATAATCATATTTTAGAAATAGAAAAATATTTTTTAAACAATGCTTTGTTCAAATTATATTTTTCTGGCTTATATAAAAATATTTATTATTCTTGCATACAATTTATAAAACATTTTGTAAATTAATTTTCCAATTAATCATTTATAGTTTGATTTTTATTGAAAAGATAATTTCCAATAAATAAGACTCATTACTTAAAATGGAATTTTCAGTTTATTAAATATCAGCTGTTTTGGACAGATAAATTTATAGATAGTTCATATAAGGTTCAATTTCAATGTCTAATAATATATAGAGTAATTACTTCTATATTTGTGTGTGTTTATGTTATGGCACTACATAATTTTAAAAAATTCATATTTTAAAATTTCTATGTAAAAATTAATTTATTTTATATAGACTTCACATTTAATTTACTGTTGTGAATTACAAATAAGTTGAAAATATACAAATTAGTTAAAATTTACCATTTTCAACTTTACATTATTTTTTCTTATGTACAATACAGTTTATCTTCCTTTTCATTAGATAGAAAATTAGTTACGACAACATTTACTACATGGAATGATTTACCCATGAGTCCATTTCAATAAAAACAAAATAGATACACATTGATACAGAATTTAACCAATACAGTATTTACAATTTAATACTAATTTCAAAGTTGATTATAGCTGTTCGTATTAATTACATTAATTAAACAGATTTTTCATCATTAATTCTAGCAGATTATTATTTTTTAAGGCATCCAATTTTATTAAGCTTTTGAAGTGAACTGTGGACCAAACACATTTAACTGCCAGGCAGGTTCTGGATTTGATATCTGTAAAAAATCAAAGATTTTTTTAAAAAATTTAAGTTTTATCTATAAAAAATTTTTTAACCTAAGTACAATTTATTTATTTAAATCTGATTTATAACAAAAGATCTTAGTAATTTTAATAACTGGAGATGCTTCGAATATGTTTGAATCTTGATGCTTATATGATATTTGTGATGTTCATAAGAATCCTTGAATGTTAGTTGCTTCTATCACTGAATAAAAATTTCTTTGAACTATTCTTATGTTAAATATTAGTACACTTATAATCAATTTTCATTCATTATTATTGTCCCTTTATTAGGATTATATTTTACTATAATTTTTATTTCAGTTATAATCCTCATCATATGCCAAACAAACTGCCAGATTATTTATCAAAATGTAAAAAAAGCAAATTTAATGATTAGAAATAAATATATTTGATAGATGATTAGGTTGCCATCTAATGATAAATATAATTTAATCAAATCGAAGACAAGTCTGTCAAAGAGGGACCACCATTTATTTTGCGTTCCAGACTATACATATACACATTCATGGCGACAGGCCTTCCTTTTTAGGCTTCATGCCAACAGAGGTAAAAAAGTCCTTTAAAAAACACAAGCAGGAATCGGTGATATGCACACATCTTACTTTCCATCCATCTGGCCAATGGGGTAGTTCTGCTTTATATCTACTAGAGCATTCCTAGATATTGGAAAATGTAGATAATTTAAATTTAGAATATTCTGGAAGAAAAGATTGGCCTGGAGCAGGACTTGAATCCATAACTCTTGCTTACCATACAGATGTATTGCAGTTATGCCTCCCAGATCTCAATCCAATCTTTGTTTCCAGAAATACTAATAATATATACAGCAATATAAATAATCTGACAGTTCATTCAGCTTATCTAATAGGAGTTGATGTGTATGTTGTTAATCCTCATTATATTATAACCAATTTTACTTTTATTCTTTATGAAAATTAAATATTAGCTATATTTTTATTTCAATTTGTCTATTAATGAATATTCTGTCTTAATGAAGATTACAAACACTTATCATTCCAACTTTTGGTCAGAAAATCATTACTAATTAGTGTTGAATAAACAATTTAGAACAAGTATCAACTAATTTACTCCAAATATTTTCAAAAGATCCATTCTCAGAACATTCCACTAATGTGCTATCAAAATTATGTATCCATTAAATAAAATATAAGAATCAATGAATATTAAACTTAATGATTAGCTATGTTATCTAGTTACTTAACAAATCCAAATAAAAGTAGATGGAATAGTTTTGATAATAGATTCTGCTCTACTCTTTTATTCTATTTATTCTGATCTTTTTGACTTAACTTATTAACAATGCAAAATTTTTAAAAAGAATTTTTTTTCAGACTATGAAAATTAAAAATAAATCCATTTTATAGATTCTAAAATTTTGAAATTAATTGTAATAAAATATATCTAAAATGAATATGATTTTATATAAAATTGTGTGTTTTTATTAATACAGAAAAGAAGGAAAGTTGGAAAATATTACAGGTCATATTTAGAATTGCTTCTTTTCCAATCTGTTTTATGATTCAAAAACATAGTGAAAAGACCAAACTGTGTATATGATGCATGAAGAAAAAATTGGTGTTATCTGTAAAATGTGTTTTAATTGTTTTATTCCCTATGATGTATCACTTAATTCATCAAGTGCTGACTATCAACTATGATAAAGATATATAAAAATTGAAAACTCACATTGTCTAAAAGAATAATTCCTCTTAGAAATTAATTTTTGTTAATTATTTTGACAAATAATAATTGTTACTACTACTTTTGCCTAAATAACAGAGATAGTAGAAGTGTTTTATCCTAAAATGCTTTGTTGTAATTTTTTGATAAACTTTTATTTATGAAAATGGAAATACATCAAATTATTTTTATTCTTTAATAACTATTATTTAGATTTTTAGCACTTCTTTCTCAAAAAAGAATGCATATTTTTAACAATTATTATTCCCAAGAAATGAGTTAATTCTAGAAAATTGAAGAAAAATATTGAGTCACAGTTGCTTTCCAGACAATGAAAGTACTATCTTAACAAAGAAAAAAAAAATATAGGGTGTAACTCTTATCACTGAGAAGTTGATCATAATCAAAGTCTGCAGGTTATATTATTAGTTATACACTGGTCAAAACAATTAGGAGAGCATATGATTGTTCTCATTAAGGAGTAGCAAAGAAATTCCCAGCAACTCCTTAATTCGATGCCATGCAGATGTGCAGCAGTTTAGCCATTTGTGGAGATCATACATCCTATCCTATAATATCCTAAAAACTCATTCATTCTGGTTGTGTAAATGTGCTTATTGTTGATTAGCATATTGCAACAAGTGAAATAAATGAAAATATAATTTGGTTCAAATGCATACTTTTTTACATTTTATTGTATCTTATTTAATAATAACATCTGACATTCTGAATCATTCATTGTAAATGATTTTCTATACAAAATTTCTTGCTCCTCTAATTGTTTTGACTAGTGTAGTTTAGAATTTATCTACTGTTATGCTAAATAGTTCCAATTTTCTCAGGTGACTGTTATCCAAAAACTCTTCTATTTCTATGTTAGACATGTTTCCAGCTTATTCTAATACTTTTTACATACCAAATTGTTCTGTTCTGGGATTTATTTTTTGTTTAGGCTGTTTTTTAGCATTCCACTTTCAGTTTTGTTTTTTTGTATAAACTCCATCTTCTGATTAATTTATCAACAAACAAAATCTCTTGCTATTTATTGAAGGCAGAAGGCATTTTACATTCCATGTTAGATTTGTTTTTCCTGTACAACTAACAGCAACTTTATTTATGGCATTCTGTCTCAGAACACAACAAAATTTGATAAATTTGAACTTTTATCTCATTAATTCAAATTATTGGCTAAATCAAATTCACAGTTCTCTTTGAAATTTATTTAAATATATATATATATATATTAAAAATACAGTTAATTCAAATAGTTTTAGGATAAATTTGGTTAATTCAAATTAACCAAATTTATCCTAATTAATTATATTGAATATTAATTGAAATTATATTAATTGAATTTAATATATTTGATATTTCAAATATAAAACATAAACTAGCATGTAAACAACTTATTTAGAATGTGTGCTCTGTAACCTTTAAAGTATGGACAAAATTGTCATATATTTTCACAGTTTTAGTGACACTTAACTAAATGACTCTGCCAACTAAACTTATGCTTTTACAATGTCTTAGTTGTAGAATATCAACTTTTTAATCTGAAGTTAATTTTGTGTAAGTGATTTCAGAAGTTGAAAAGAAAGTAAAGAGAAAATCCAATATCACTAGAGAATATAGAATGCTGTCAAATGTAGAAAACTATAGAAAACTAGTATTTTCTTTCAATAACAGATTATTTGAATTTTGAATAATTTAAAATTTTTCAGATTTTCCCTAGTGTTTAATTAAAAAAGTAACTTATTAACATGTACAATTACATTTCCTTCACTCTGAAGCTAAAAAGCAAGGAATGTGTAATCTACAGTATGCAGACCAATTCTAGTTGTGATCATTTTCAAAATATACATTGTATAATAAATAGACTATATTAAATACGTATTTCATTTTTCTTATTAATAATATTGATAAAATCAATTATACAGTATCTATATTACGTATAACAGTGTGTTAAAAAAAGGATGATTACAAAAGAAAAGCTTAGAGAATGATGTAATTAATGTTAAAGATTGAGAAAGCTTACCTAAGTCATAGAAGTGAGTTTTAAAGTAGAAATATCACAATAACAAAATGTGGAAAAAAATTTCTTTTGACAAATGATTTTGGTCTAAGAGAAAATACTAAATAACATAATTGTCCACTCTAAACTATATAAACTATTTGACTTTTTTTCTAATTCAAACCTAACTTTTGGAAAAGTTTATAAATCTCTGTAGGTAGCTACCCCTAAAGAGTAAAGATGGATGTTTAAGAAAGTCAGGAAGTACTTGAGTTGTTTTCAATTGTTTAACTTTTGTTTTTATTTCAATCAAGCAGAGTTTGCTATATAAGTTGCACAGTTTTTTCATACTACCTTATTATCTTTAAAATGCAATATACTTTGATTGCAATAATATATTATATGGAGTTTATTTGAACAAAAACTGCTGTAATTTAAAACTTGAAATTTTTTTAAAAACAATTTTATTCTCATTTAATTTATAGCCTAATCGCTTCCAAAACTTATCCACTCTAACCTTCTCTTCTCATTATTCTTTTTTGTGTTCAATATGTTGGAGTTATCGCACAGCTCCAACATATATCTTTTCCTTCTGTTAGTGGAATGTTGTACAGTATATATAGTATGTACCTGCCTTATTTCTTCACTTTTTTCTCTCCTCATCATTTCTTATCATGTTGAAGTACACTCTTCATAAGAACACTTTTCTGTATTTTTCCTAGCTTTTCATAAACACCACTTCTGTACAATTAATATATGACTAAAGTTTTTTTCTTCTTCCAATCAGTTTTCTTCCCATTTCATGCTTTTTAGTTATCTCTCCAATAATCTTCAGCCAGGACCATTAAGAGTTTATATGGGTCCCAGGGATAGAGCAGGCCTCTTTGTCATTGTTTTTTTAAACAAATGAAATATATAGAATGTTTCTTTATTAATAAAAAGTAGTCTTAAAGATTTTTAATAAAATTGAAGACAAAACTGTCCAAAAAGGATCACCATTTATTATTTTTTGTGTTCCAAGACTAACACATTCTCGGTGACTGACCTTTCTTTGTAGGCTGCTTATCGCCGGAAAATTACAAAGAGTCCTTTTAAAAAACACAAAGCACATCCAATTAAAATTACAAAAATTTCTGAAAAAAGAACTGGTGACATACAGTTGTCCTGCTTACATCCATCTATACCTTCTTTTGGGGATTTCTTCTGCTTTTTATCTACTAGAAATTGGTGCTGGAAAATGTAGATTTGTAGAAAAGCTGCCCCCTGGTGACAATACATGTATGTTTAATGGATGTTTAATGTATGTTTAATGGATACATGTATCGTCACCAGGGGCAGCTTTTCTACAAATCTACATTTTTCAGCACCAATTTCTAGTAGATAAAAAGCAGAAGAAATCCCCAAAAGAAGGTATAGATGGATGTAAGCAGGACAACTGTATGTCACCAGTTCTTTTTTCAGAAATTTTTGTAATTTTAATTGGATGTGCTTTGTGTTTTTTAAAAGGACTCTTTGTAATTTTCCAGCGACAAGCAGCCTACAAAGAAAGGTCAGTCGCCGAGAATGTATTAGTCTTAACACAAAAAATAATAAATGGTGATCCTTTTTGGACAGTTTTGTCTTCAATTTTATTCAAAGTAATTCTCCATCGGAAGAACATTTATTTAAGATTTTATTTTCTGTTAGTAAAAACAACATAATTTATAGAAGGAACTGCTACAGGCTCCTAAGTTTTCTCCAGGCTAAGGGGAAAAACCCCCAGCTCACCCTCTTGATGGCTTGATCTTCAGCTTTTTATATAATATTTATAGATTGATGTTATCTGATAAGCTCTCAAATATAAAAATTTACTTTAAATGGATTTACTTAAAGCATATTTCTTTCTTAAAGAAATTTCATGAATTTAATTTAATTTTAATTTAATTTAATGTAAATAAATACATCACAACAAAATTAGTTTTATGACAGTCAATCAGATAAAAGCTATGTTTATTACAATGAATTCTTTGAAATGAATTTCATTCATCACTGAAATACAGGAATCTTGCTACTGATACCAAAAGTAAACAGAAAAACTATGAAAATACAGCCCTGACATTTTGATGCAAGTATAAAAGTTATTATTTTTAAATAAGCTAATAGTTTTTAATTATGATAATCATAATATTTATTCTTTTTCTGATGGAAATGGTTAATTCTTATATTAAAAAATAGCACTGTAAGTCATAAACTTTATTCTGTTCCAGAATCTCTCAAATACATTTCTTTCCATCATTCTAGCAACTAGCTCTGCTATTAGTCCTGCTGTGAAGCACATAATAGATCCTTCTCTATTTTGCTGAAGCAGGTTTAAATAAGAAATATGGCAATGACAAAAATAAAAATAAATTTTCTTCAACAAATATTCAAATAATTTGGTCCAACAGAGGAGAGTGAAGAGCATAACATCTGTTTTAATCTAGATAAGTATAAATTAAAAAATTGACATTTCTAAGTTTTGGAAACAGTTTTAAAAGTAGAAAGTTTATAAATCTACATATTTAACCAAAGAGGAAAATTTAGAAAATTCAAATGGTACTTAAGTTGTTTAATTTATTGTACAATTTGATAAGTTGGAGTTATTCCATAGATTGTGCAATTTGTATCACAAAATATTTTATAGTACAAATTACATTTTTAGTTTTGTATTTAATTAATTCATTGTATTTTGTTATATTGTAGTTAGTTCTAAAAATAGAGATGAAATTCCTTTTTATATAGCTCAAGTTGCAATTTGTACTCCTTACATACATATATTTGAAAATTTTTATATTGATAAACAAATTTTTCTTACCTTACGAAGTCCTTTTCGTCCTCCAAAATTCCTAACTTCTATCATTAACTTATCACGTGGATCAACAGAATGATTAGACACTGATGTTCGTGGTTTCTTTTCTACAGTTTGGCAAACAGAAGTTTGTTTATTAACATCAGTAGGCAAAGGAAGTTGAGGTGGCGGTGGCGGTGGAGGTGGTGGAGGTGGCACTGTAACTAAACAATGTATTACATTTTGTTCTTTGGTATTTGTATTAGTTTGCAATTTCTGTTGATTTTCTTTTTTTGACCATGAATCATCATAATTATGAATTTGGGAATTATAATTATTTTTATGTAGTGGTCCTCCAAAATAAGTATACATTGGCACTGATCCTTTGATTGGTGTTTTATTAGTTGATTTTTCACTCACCTTTGAAATTTCTAAGGTAGATTTGATATTTTTAACATTAGTTGACTTTACTGTTCCATTTTTCCTATTATCAACAGAAATGTTTTCTGGAGGTTGATTCTGAATAGTCATTTTTGAATTTTCAAATTTTTCAAAACTATCTCTTCTACTTATTCTTTCTTTTCTATTTTCAATTTTATTAATTGAAATATTTTTCTCTTCATCTTCAGTACGCACCTCAGGAGGTAATCGTTGTCTTGTACTGCTTGAAGATCTCACTGCTGGTGGTTTAAAATAAGTTTTGTTAGAAGAAGAACGTAAGCCATTGGATGACAAATTCTTTGTTTTGATTTTTAAATCTGAAGAATTTATGTCTATTTTCTCATTCCTCTTTTCTGAAAATGACTGACGAATACTGGATTTATTTGGCAAAGAAGAATAATCTGTTAACCTGTTTGAATCCCAAGTTGATAATGTTACATTATTTAATAATTCTGATTTTGTGTTTCTTGTTAATGATTTTGATTCTCTTACTTTAACAACAGGTTTAAAATGATTACTTTTTGTGGGTTTATCTTCTTGAATTACACACTTTTTTGGGAATAAACATTCTTTTTCTAATAATGTATGATTAGACATTAGTTGTTTCTGCCAGACTACAAATTGTTTTTGTAACTTTCTGTATTCTTGTTGCAGACGTTCTTGTTCCTTTGCAAATTCAGATTTAGATTCTTCATTAATCATTAAATCTGCACCACTCAAATTATGTTCAGATAAAGCACGCTTCAATAAACTAGAATTGTTTGAATTTTCTTCTTTGGTATCAAGTGGTATTTCAGTCTCAACATTAATGTTGTTTTCAGGAATTAAATTTAACATTGATCTGGACTTTTCCTTTAAGGCAGGTGAAAATCCCATATCTGTTATCTCAGCACATCGAAGTCTCACTTGCCCTTTTATACCTCTCACAGATCCTTCTAGTCCATAAACTTTGTTATCATTTGGCTTCTTTTTATCACTTCTCTCTAAAAATGAACGAATTCGTACTCCAGGACCTCCATAACCACCTTTCTTTGGTCGAATTTTAATCCATTCTTCTCTTGATACATTAAAAGATTCTGATTTTGTAATGCATTTTCTTTCCGATGATCTCTGAAGTGAACCATGCTCTGTTTTTCTTTCAGTTATTTGTTCACATGGAACTAAATAATTTTCATTTGATGTATAAGAACCAATTGAGAAATTTTCTAACTTTTTAGAATCATCTTTAGTGTTATCTGTTATTTGTTGAGCTGGTTTTTGTTTTCGTTTTGTTTTAGACCTTGATTTCTTTCTTATTACATGATTACATCTTTCAAACACTTCATCACTAGATTCATCAGAAGAGGCTAGTTTTCTACATGGCATTGGTAAAACTTGCAATGTAGTTTTATCATCAGTTTGTTTTTCATTTTGATTCTGTTCTTCTTCTTTTCTATCTATATCATAACAAGCATTTTTTTTCATGTCCTTTTGCAATTGTAAAGCATTAAATGCTGTATTGATTTCTGAATGGATTTGTTGTTTGTTTATATCCTGTTCCAGTCGAGCATGTAATGTTACAACTTCAGTTTTAGTAACAGATTTCACTTTTTCTTCAAATTCTTTAACTTCTACAAAATAAAAATAATCATCTTATGTTTACCAGCTAACATTATAGTTATTTTAAATATTAAATAGAATTAAGTTTCAATTGATTGCAAATGATAAAAACAAGAATAAATGAACAATTATTTACCTGTGTTCTTTTTCATTTCTTCTTCCAAGTCAATAACTCGCTGAGCTTCAGCAATTGTTTGTTCAAAAGAATTTTCAATATCATCAATCGTTCCCAAAGATGAAAGACTCATTCTCCTTGCATCAGTTGCTGAGAATATGACTTCATCTGAGAAGAGAAAAGTACATTTTGAGTAATTACAAATTACATATAAATATATATATATAGTTTAATATAATTAGTGACTACTACTAATTTCTTTCAAGCAGTCTAAATAAACAAAAAATAAAATTAAATAAGATTTAATTAAATATATTGTTATCTCTTAGATCAGGGGTCGGCAACCTTTTGAGTCGCAAGAGCCAAAATTACAATTTACAAAATTTCAAAGTTTTTAAAGAGCCACAAAATTTTTTCTTGCCAACAATAAATAGTACTCGCATAAATAAAGTTTTTTGATAAAAAAAAAAAACTAATCTATTTATTCATATATAAGTAGTGATTTTCACAACAAATTAGATAATAGAAAAATCCAATGCAGTGTCATTCAAGAGCTTCCGACGGACTGATGACAGTGACTACGCATGTCATGGGAGAGGGGTGCGGTGAAAAGCGAGTACAAGTGGCTGAGATATAGAATCAGTGCCTAATCCTCGTTAATAGATTCAGAACGATTTTTAAATGTTTTTTTTTTTTGATAAAATAAATAATATTTGCGTATGGAACTAAAGAGCCGCAGCTTCACATCCAAAGAGCCGCATGTGGCTAGCGAGCCGCAGGTTGCCGACCCCTGTCTTAGATGAATAAAAGGTGACAAGTTAAATGTTTTTTTTTTTTTTGATAAAATAAATAATATTTGCGTATGGAACTAAAAAGCCGCAGCTTCACATCCAAAGAGCCGCATGTGGCTAGCGAGCCGCAGGTTGCCGACCCCTGTCTTAGATGAATAAAAGGTGACAAGTTTCAGTTTATTGTTTATAAATTTAAAAAAATACATTTCTTTATGATGCCATTAGATAAAATTTAATTAAAATAAAGAAGAACTGCAAATTTGGTCCCTTGTTCTCTGCAATAGATATATCCTTCAGACAAATTTTCAGAATACAAAAATTTGATAGAGTCAAACAAATTTTTTTCTGAAAATTTTAATTTTCATCAAATAAATGACTTAAATTATTACTAATATTGTTAAATAATCTTAAATACAAAAAAATTGATTAGATTAGTAAAAACAAAAGTCATGTGACCAAAATGATAATGGTTATATTATTATTACTTACTACTAATTTTAATAAAAACAAAAAAGGCATATCATATACAGGTATCCCTTTGTATAACACGGTAGTTATGATCCAAAAAGTGCCATGTTATGCAAATCTGTGCTATACAATACAAAGGACTAATGCAAAACAACTTTTTGCAAAAGTTAACAAAAATATACAATTTACTTTCTCTTATATACACTGAAGTGGTATAATAAGGCAATAGAGTTCATTATTATACCACTTCATTCTGTGTAAGAGAAAGTAAAAAAGAAACATATACTATTCTTTTCCATCACTAAGAGAAATATGTTTATTAAAGCAAATCAGTAATTTATTTCCAATCAATAATTAACTAAAAATAACAATTAAAGTACCTTATTACACATTAATATTAATTCTAGTTAAACGAGGGCATTTTCATTTTACAAAATATCTTCTTCTTCATTGTCTTCTGAGCTTTTTTGTTGATCTTGGTCAGAAATATCAGAAAAATTTTCATTTTTCTTATTTTTATGATGGTAATTATTATGGATGACAAAATAAAAATAAAAATTTGTTCTAGGACCCTTTGTTTGTTCAGTTCAGTACTGAGCAATTTTTCTCCAAAATCATGTTTAAATACCGAATTGTTCAAGTTGAATAGTTCAAGTACTGAGGTAACACTGTCTTTTGTTTGTCATTTTTACGAATGATTACTCATCTATGATTAAAAAAATGTTTAATAACACTTACTTAATAACTTTTAAATAAATCTTTCTATTTAGTAAAGATTTAGCTATAAAAGCAAAACACAGTAAGTCTTAAGGGCTAAAGTCTAAAAGCAACAACAATGATACTTAGGAAAGCTAGGACAAGGAAGAAAAAAATTGTACAATCAACTATCAGTTTTCATTAAAGTAAACATGACGAAAGGCAGCACAAAATAAATTGAAAATTTCAATATTGTGAAATCCATGGGCAAATTTGAGATAACACATATGCTAACTTAAAGAAAAAAATATCAAATGATAAAGTTTGCACTTAAAAATTATGAAATTTTGTAAGAACAATTTTCTGAATTCTCCAATTATGTTAAAGTGAAACCAGAAACCATGTTGTATAGGAGACATCCTCAATTTTCCAACCGTGCTGTACGAGGGATACAAGTACTTAGAAATTACTTTAATACATAATAATAATTAAAATAACTTTTTGATGCATGTCTGAATCATCAGAAAAGAAAATAATTTATTTGATTCTGCAAAATTTTACTTTCTAAAATTTGCCTGAAAGCCCCTAAATGAACGTTCTTGAATTTTTGTATTTTTCTTGATTAACATTTTTATGCACTGTCTTATCATCAAGGATGTGTTTTTGAAATTTACCAGTTAAACCAGTCATGAGCAACTTGTGGTCTGGAATGTCCTGATACCTGGCTCTCAGTGCTTTGGCAATGTAATTTTATTTTCTATCAATAGTTTCTGCCTCGTGCCATTATGCAACTCTAAGCTGATATTCCTGATGAAGAACATTCAAACTAAACTTGACTGGTAAAAAGATTAGAACAAAGTATATATTATTTTAGTACCTAATGTATTGGCAGTTAAGGAGTGTGTTTATACTCAGGAGGCTTAAAGCCTATAACTCCATAAGAAAAATATACGCTACTAATCAAGAACCTATGAAATTTAATTGTGGCCCAATGCCAAAGGTTGCTCACCACTGAATTAAACTAATAAGTCTTTATCTCCCTTGATATACTATTGTGTTTTATTGATGTATGCATATGCCTGTATATAATATACTTGTATATATACACATAACCATGGGCATCTGCAGAGGGGGTACTTAGGGCGGCCGGATGGCCAAGCGGTCAAGGTGGCAGCCTACTGCACTGGTGGACCTGGGCTCAAATCCGAACAGGTCGAAAAATCCCCAGGAATTTTTCGGGAGGTGGTCCGTTCAGATATGTCAGGCCCCGTCCCTCACCACCCGGCTGAACCCATAATGGGCTTGCAAAAAGAGGCCCTCTTAGTGCCCAAAGGCCAGAAAGAGTTAAAAAAAAAAAAAAGAGGGTACTTAATCCTCTCTGGATCAAGTAAAAATTTCCACAAATTATAATTGTAAAATTGATTGAGATATATAATTTTACACACTCAACAATAGGAGGCTTTTTCTGTCTTAAAATTTCTTCTCTCTTAAAAAATACCCAAAAAAATTAAATACTGTAATTAAATAAAAATTTATTGATGTAATTATTTGTCTTCAAGCTTTTCCCCTGGAAAATTTTCTGCAGATGCCCATGCTTATAACTAAAGTATGTAAAAAAAAATATTCTATACAATCATTTTATAAACACATAGGATTATTTGACTGCACATCAACTGAAAAGTATGTTGTTCTGATATCAACAGATCAAAAATAAGAATTTATGAATTTTTCATTGTATCCAAATGATCTTGAAAACATCATTTCAATTTAATGAAAAATCCATAGGTATTTTTTATTTTGGTTAACAGGCTGCATGTGTTTTAGTAATTTGCATTTGAATAACATACATTTTCTTACTCTATTTAGGATCAATATGAACCTCTCTATATTATGGAGCTACATTTTCAACATTACAAATTGCTCTTCACACTAATATCTAAATTGAAATTTAAGTAGCAACCTTAAAATATCTAAATATATAATTTTAAAATAAAAAGTTTTTTATTAGAGATCAGTATATATGATAGCTCTATTGTATCTCTAGTTATCAAATAAATAAATATGATTTCTAAGATTTTTGATAATATGAATAAATACTATTAAAATTACCTTCTTCATATTCAGGTGATGCATCGATAACAGGACATTTGCTTTCTTTGCTATTATCATCAGATATATTTTTGAAATTTTCTTTATTTTGAGTTTCAGCTGACAGAACAGGTGGGGGTGGGGCTTTTCGTTTTTTAGGAGCAGTACATTGAGTTTGAATAACCATTTTTGTAATACCATTACTTAGTTTACCATTCACATGGTTATCAGTTGAATCAAGACTGCTCAATCCACTTCCACTTGATGTTTCTGGAGAATCACTAAATACAGATGATTCATGATATCCACTAGAGTCAGAACTGTGACGAGAATGTGAAACTGATTCAATCCTACTATTAACAAGTTTTGTTTGTGGTGGGAGAGGTGCAGGTCTTTTCTTTAAACCTGATTTAGATGCGTTTTCTAGAGTGTTATATGGAGATATTCCTTTATTTACAGAATCACTACTAGATCCTCCAAAACTCTGTTAAAATAAAAAATTATTTTAAGATAAAATTTTTAATAGAATAAAACTTAATTTACACTCTATTAAATACCAAATTTTATTATTTGTGTACTTAATCATCATATGATAAATATTTTGAAATGTAATTTATTAGAATTCTGTATGAACAGTACATAAATTCTAATATATACCAGTGTAATAAAATTATGCTAGTATGATCATTTGTGGCCAGTTGAATGTGACTGAAGACTTGTAGGCACTATGTTATCTCCACTAAAATAATACTGTAAGATCTACTCTGAATGAGCAAATATTAGTCTAAGATATACTGTATATGCATCTGAAAAATAGTTACTTTTTGATCTCAGATAACATAATTTATACTATATCACTTTATGTACAAAAGTTGATGTCTCTAAATCACATCGATTTAGAGAAAAATCAAAGTGTTTTGTAGATATTTCTAAATTTAAAAATTTAATTTTAATTATTAATTTTAGAAAACTGATCTAATTATTTTTCACTGGAAAAGATGAAGAGAAAAAAGCAAAATTGTCTGAATTCGTAAGTTTGAATATTAATACAGTTAATATTAAAAATGAATAAATATTTTGTAAATCTTTTTCAGGCTCGTCCACAAACAAAATTGTGAATACTCTCATATTTTAGGTCTGGAGTTTATTATAAAAGTTTATTTCTAATTATAAATATGTATTATTGTCAAAAATAAACCCAGCCTTTGATATTGCTAGGTAATATCAAAAGTTGGTTTTATTTACAGATATAATAATGAACATTTGCATGTTCAAACAGTTTCTTAGATACATCAGTACTTGTTTGACACATGACAGACACCTGTATTCAGATGAACTAGCACATAAAATGTTAAAGTATTGGAATATGTAGGTATGCAGTGTACAATACATCTGGATCAAAATGCTTCTGGTTTTGTTCCTACTTGTACAATGTAGGTGTGCTCGCGTTGGAATTTTAAAATGATGTGAATTGGCATTAATTCTGCATAAAACTGATTTAAAAAACATTACAAAAATTAATTAAATTAATTAATTATTAAAATTAATTAATCTTTTAAAGAAGCATATGGTAATGACATCATGTTGCATACACAAATGCAAAAATGGCATAAGCATTTTAAAGACCCTGAAGCAATAATAATCCCCATCCAGGTAGGCCAACTTCAGCAAGAAACCAAGAAATTTTTCCAAGTTCATGAAGAGATCAAAAGAGACTGTTGGTAACCAATATATGATGTAGTCAACTTTGTGAGAATTTTTTACAGATCTGTTTACATCATTCTTCACAATGATTTGAAAACATGCCATGTCTGTTCTCACACTGTTCCAAGGAATGTGAAGAATGTACATCCATCAGCAGATAACTGGCACAGTTATAAAGACACAGATATTCTAAATGGCATGATTACTGGCAATGAAATCTGGCATTTATTATACAAGCCACAAAATAATCCTTATATCTGCAGAGACACACCTTGTCTCTGCAGATATAAGGAGGAAAGTAAGGTTTGATATTTTATAAGTTTATTTCTAATAGTATATCTGTTAACAAGGTGATCTATATTAACATTCTCAGTTGCCGCCATTACTCAGTAAGAAGAAAATGGCCTGATTTCTGACAAGCTAAAAATTGACTTCTCCATAATAGCAATACCCTGGCACATCATGCTCTTCTAGTTAGTGAATATCTGGCAAAAGACCTGATGCCTGTATTTCCAGGACCACCTTATTCACTGGATCTTGCTTCTGTAGACTTTTGAAGTTCTAGTGAAGGATTACAAATTCAAAACATGCCCTTATGCACTCAAGGACATAACATAATATGAGCTGCAAGACTGTTTTATAAGCTAGAATTGTTGTACAAGCTAGGATACTATACTACTAGACTTGTTCCAATACATTCTGGGATTCCAGACCTTGTTCCAGTACAAGTTAAAAACTTATGAGTTGCAGATATTAAGTATTGTGAAATAATTGATATAGTGTAACACAGCTTTATGTTATATAAACCATATAAAAGAAACTTTGCATATCTTAAAAACCACTGCTGATCAATTGGTGATTAATAACTAATACAAACATTGGCAATAACATATAGCTGCATAAGGTATTTGTTTTGAAGGCAGCCTTCTAAAAATACTTTTAATATTAATGTAATAAAAGTTGTATTAAAAGTTTGGTTTATTTTTGATTCAATCACCTGATATCTGGTATTTAGGATTATTCAGATCTAAATATAGAATTTTGATTTTTATAATGAATAATTATTAGCCTTAACTGAGTGTTTTTTATCTAATGAATTTTAAAGTAAAATAATTTAACAAGTCAAATGTAATACATTTAATAAACAGTTTAAAGTTGAATTAACATTTAAATGCTAAAATTTTACAATGTTAAAAATTGTTTAATGCTTTCATAAAGTAATTTTGAATCCAGAAGACATTTGGTTGAGTTTATTATAGCAAACATATATGAATATACAAAGCAATTGTGAAGAATGTCTCATCATTGGTTTTAAAAAATAAATAAAATATTTATACTATACAAACTGATTTTAATTTTATAAAAATTACATAATATAAGAATATTAAATTACTTTTACATTTTTTAAATTTCAAACATTTCATTTTTATAACACAATATCAATGAAAATCTTTCTTAAAGTTTAATTTTTTTTTTAATACATTTCAAAAATATAATTTGAACACAATGGCAAATAATTTTTATAGGATTTTTTTTCTTGTTCTAATTCTTTACATGTAAAAAATATTAACATGTTTCATATTTAAACATATAAATAAGATATTTAACTATAAATACATTGTTAAAATTTTAAATCAATATAAAACTTTATTCTTCTAAAGAAAAACTTTATACAAATCAGTTTTATGCATTGTAGCATTATATATTTGAATTGGTCTATTATATTGTTATGAATTAACATCTTGCTGGACAAAATCTTAATTTATTTAGTCCAGTCATTCCAATAGGATAATTTTCTTTTAAAAATATTCATACACTAAATTCATATCTATCTATTATTAGATAAATGTTAATGATCTCATTATACATAGTTCTATTTTATATTGATCGTAAATGAAATTAGCTTATTAAATTTTTGGTTTTTTAAAAAGTGTTTAAATTGGTTTCATTAAATATATTTTGAATAAATATTGGTAGACATAAAATTTTTCAACATGTAAACAAACCATTACAATGAAAGTTGTTTAAGTTCATTTTAAGAAAAAAATTGAGCTAAAAATGACATTAGCTACAATTCTATGTGGTATTTTTTATAAAATATAAGACATATTTAAAATCAGAAAAATATACTGTAATACCAACATATTATCAGTTACAGTACTACTATTTTTGAATCAATTCAAATGCAAACCTTTAAATCTCTTGATTTAAAAATAAATGGATTTAAATCACTTTCATTTGCAATTATTAAGTAATTATTATCATTTTAAGCAGTTTTTTTATGATAAAAATAAAATAATTTTTATTGTATTTTAGAAATTTTCTTAAAATATAGTTTATTAATAAAATCTTTTAAACATTATAATTAGTATACTTTGCAAATGTTCCTTTAAGTTGATGTATCAAGCATTTGTTCAATTAATAAATTAATGTTGTTTTATATTAAAGTTTCTTGTCTCAATTTTTAATAAAAAGATATTTCATACACTGTGTAGCAGAGATATCAGAGTCTTATCAAACTGTTACTAAGGTCATCAAAATGACACTTCTATCATTAGAATGGAACTTTATATCTTGTTTTATATATAACTATATAGCATTTTAGAAGCATATATGTTTATATATAACTATATTTTGGTTCTTCTTCAACCATACATTAAATTAATAAATAGGTATCTGTTTTAGATCTACATATTAGCATAATACTCATTCATTAAAAATATTTAGATCTAAAACAGATACATATCTATTCATGTATGACTGAAAAGGGTCCTTAGGACCAAAAAGCATAACAATTATAAAGTTGCATTCTAATAATATAAGTTTGATTTTGATGACTTCAGTAACAGTGTGATAAGTCTGATATCTCCACTACATAAAGTATGAGATAACTTTAAATTAATGTTGTTTTAGATGTATTAATGCTTTTTTGATGAATCATATCACACTTAGCTACTATAATCAATTTTATCAAAAATAGATACATGTATTATAAATTATACTTACTCCTTTGTTTTTTTTCTTGGAGAAAATGCTAAGAATTCCTTTTTTCTTTTTGTCTTCTTCTCTTGTAGAGAAAGCTATTAGATCTGTTGCTGAATTATAAATATTGGCTTCTATATCTTAAAAATAAATATTAGAATTAGGATATGTTATTACATTGTAAGAATAATTTATTTTATACCTACTCGATATGGACATTAATGTGATTTCTGTACTACCATAATCAATTAACTGTGTAGACAGATCCAATATTTGGCTGGGACGATTTGGATGAACTAATTGATATTTTGATGGATCTAAATGTTTTTCTGTACATGCCATTTGTTTTACCTCTCTTAATTGAGTTTTTGGACTGACTCTTAAAACCATTAATTGATTCCTTGGCAGATTTACCTGTAGTCTAAAGGTTTGCTAAAATGATAAAATAAATATTTAATTAACAAAATAATGTTAATAGACTTTCGACGACCTCTTTATTTGTTTACTAGCAGACCCCGCCACGCCTTGTTGTGGATAAAATAAATATTTAATTTACAAAATAATGTTAATAGACTTTCGACGACCTCTTTATTTGTTTACTAGCAGACCCCGCCACGCCTTGTTGTGGCTCAAAATGTATCTATTATAAATGTATAACACTTCCCCCGTGGGGGAAAATTTTTCGAAAAATTTCTTCTTGGTGCACATTCTCTTGACGTACCCCATTAAAACGCAATCATAAACGCAAAAACCCNATTATTATTAATTAAATATAAAATTACTTATAAACACTTTTCAATTTTAAATATCTTTTATTGATAAGATTATTTTGATATTACAAAACTGAAAACAGAAACTAGGAATTTGTACACTTAATTGCATAATTAATGTTTTATTTGTCCCTCTTTTCCAATTTACTTACCATTTTTAAGTGTAATATCTAAATAAAAAGCAAAAGTCAACAAATAAAAGTCTAAGTTATTAGCTCAAGTGGGAAAGGCTAGTAATGAAATAATATAATAATTTGAAAGAGTTATATATTTAAAAAATGGTAACTAAATGTGCTTAATGACATATGTCATTTAATAATAGTTAAATAATCTTACCTCAAATGGCTGTTTCACAGTCTTGGACATTCTTTTTGTAGGAGGATCTATAACTGAACTTTTAGGCACAATATATATGGTGTTTGTATCTAAAGATCCAATAGGTGTGTTAGGTTTATAATGGACAAAATCGTGTCCTTTGCCCTTCCACATATGAATAACATGGCCTCCGGGATTTATTTTGTTTGCTGTAGTTGCTTGAACTAATAAATCCATCATCGGAGTCCTATAATATACAATTTCATTATTAGTTATATAATTTCTCGTTAAAGAACAATCTTAAATTGTTAATTACCATATTGTTTAAATTTAAAAACGGAGAACGTCTAGTTACCACTTCTCATTACTGATTAAAACGATTGTCCGTATGTAAAATAATCACATACGATAACGAATCGCCACCCAATTCGCTGCACACAAAAGGTTTCTTACTAAAGTCCAACTGAACACCTAAACCATTTGTAAAGATTCTTTCTCCTTATCTTTCATTAAAAAAAAAATTTTTTTTGTTCTAAAGAAGCCTAAAAAGTAGACCTCGTTGGCTAAGCTGCATTGCAGCATTTTATTAACAAAATTTCACTTAAATGTTATCTGATAAAGTTCTTTAAATATAGAAAGGAATAATTTAAAAAGATTTTTCTTAAGTTATTAAAGGTAATCTAATTGATGTGAATTCGCCAGAATTAAAGAAAAAGAATTTAAAATATGAAAAACATCTTCAGCTCTTAAACCAGACTTCTCATTCACTACGAGTTTTTGTAATCCTGATTTTTTTGTAGAGAGTAACGATGCCGGCTTTGTTCTTCACTTGACTACAATTAGGCTACATGGGATCGGTTTGCATCCAAACGAGAGAGATAATATTATTGTTTAGATTGCTAATGATAAGAAATTCAATTATAGTGAAACAGTTCCGGCTCGAAATGCACTTTATTCTTCCAGTGTGGATATAAACTTTTCTTTGAAATTTATGAAATAGTTAAATTTTTATATAAATAAGGACATGGCATTGTGAAGGATTCTTTGGTATATACCGGAATAAGTAGGACAAAACGTCATATAAATTTTACTGATTATGCATTGTGAATTGTTATCATTCATCCGAGATACTTTTATGAATCTTTCCAGTCTGTGTCAAAATTATAACGAAATTTTATTTTCGTACGTTAAATGTAGTTGGTAAATTAAAGAGACGGGATGTACCTTCTTTCCACGGACATTCTCACTTTTCTGTTATCGGGAAGAATAACGTCTAATTCCATTCTTCCTTCCAATAATTCGTTAATGGCACAATCGTCGCTTAAATGATGCGCTGTCATCATTTCGCGAGTTCCGTTTGATGACTGGAAGGACGGAGGAGGCTTAGGAGCAGCCACTTTCTTCATCCTGGAACTATGAGAAAAATTACTTAAACTAATATATTTTTAATTGCAGAAATTAAGATTTAAAGAAACAATTTGGAAACTTTGATAGAATACGCCTACGTACTACCCGAATATGTTGTTTTTAAATCATAATTTTTTTAAGATTATGTTGACTTGTATTGTAAAAAGGTCAAATGGGTCAATTTTTTTCTTTTAATTATGATACTTTCGAGTTAAAATGGACGCGTAGTGTAAGGCATGATTTGTAAAGTAGATCAAGATCACTTCGGTGCATCTCGAAGACGTCTTAACGACACAATTTATTCAAAGTCGATGTCCTGCTCGTTCATCCAAAATGCGATTATCGTATCATTAGACAATAAGAAGACCTAAATAATGATTAAAACTCGTTTATGTGATAAACGGGAGAAAATCTTTTAGTACATTTATATTTATATGTTTAGTATTAAATGAAACAGTTTCATTGAAAACTTTCATAACTATAAATAGAATAGTTATAAAGAATTTATCGAATGATTTATCGAACAAAATTAAGAGAAAATAAAAATATATTAAGCATTTTCTAGATAAAAATTTAGTTTCCAAATTTAATAGATGAGATTGATTATCAGTTTAAAATAAAGCAGTATCTTTCATCAGCACTATTATTATTTTCTCTTTCAAAATACTGTACGCATTGCACATTTTCATATACGAGCACTACTACAAACTTTCTTAATTTGATTTTACATATTAGGATGTAAATTTATTTCTGGTTCATTCCATCTCACTCTGATGATCTATCGTTTATACAAAGAGATTATCGAAGGAATGCAATTTGAATAATAATAATAATACGAGAGATGTTTATGATGGAAACATAATTAACTTCTAAAGGTGTAACGAACCTTCAAAAACATAAAATTTGTAGTAAGTTACTGTGCAAAATGAAGTTCTTAACCAGTTTCTAGTCACCAGTTGGATAATTATCATGTAAAATAACCATAAACACTAATGATCTTGTCACGCTTCCTTTTGAAAATTCTCACTAATTAGCGTGGAATATTTCTTCCAGAATTTGAAATGCGAAAAGATAATAATAATAATAAACATCATTCCTGTTTAAAATAATAGTGAAAACATCCCAATCTTTGATGAAAGTTTGAATAAAAAACATGTTTAAAAGGTAAGATAAAATGAAAAAGAAAATTAGCACTAAAATTTTCGAATTAAATATGAAATAAGCTTAAGAGTTCGCTGCAATTTTTGTAAGTTATCAATACAAAAGAAATAACTGACCTATTTTCATTACATTCAATTCGCACTTATATTATGAATTTTAGTTAAACGGAACAAATTGTTCTTTATGTACAGTACTGTGCCAATTGTATATCAAACACAGAGGTTAAATGGATTACAATTTTGAACAGTAGTTTCCCGAGATTTTTACAAATATTTTCTAATTAATAGGCCTATGTCTTATTTACATCACTTCAACAAATGACACAGACCATTTTTATCTACAAAAATATGTTATTTTTGTCATTTCGAAGTGGATGATATATCGAAAACATTATAAATAGATTAAATATTAACCTTAATTCGAAAATATGTTTTAATTATAAAATGCATTAATGATGTTTTTTTCATTGTAGCGAATAGTTCAGCGAACCTTTCCAAACCAATTCAATTGAGCGTGGAGTTCGTGTTCGTGCCTCTACAAAACACGCCTCTTTTGGATAGAAAAGGAAATAAATACGAAATAAAGAATCGCTTTGGTCAGAAAAAACAAAATTCCTAAAGATATACAATGCCATCGTTTTTGCTTGTCAACTACAATTCTTAGTACATCGAACTCTTCTTTAGTAAAAAATAAATAAATAAATAAAAAGTAAAATAACGATACGGTTTAATATCAGTCTTTTACATCTAGTTTTAAGTACTACGTAATGTTTAATGTCCTATCGATTTATCGATGTGTACTAAAAAAATGTTACCATTCATGCATTTCCGGCTCGATCAGTGTTTTAAAAGATCTGTTTAAACACTTAAAACAATTCGCGAATGGTAAAATATCGAAATAATCTAATAATATAATTTAAATAGATGATCAGAAGAAACAAAACATATATAGTTCGACTGTGATTTACACGAGGGCTGCATTCCCGAAACGCGTGCTTAAACGAAGATTTGCGAATTAAGACTAATTAGCACATTAACACACTTCACGAACGGATACGTTCCGCCAACATAACTTTTGCTGGTTATTTTATGCAAATAATTATTGAAAATTTAAGTTAAAATGTACCGTGAGAGAAAAAAATTCTTAAAAAAACAAAAGAATTTACTCTGTTTTTCACTTCTGCAATCTGCTTTCTCGAGTTAGCAGACAGTTTCGTAAGCTTCTTTAATATGCTGTTTAAACATATGGGGCGTTATAATAATAACAATATTTCATTTTATTATTATTATTATTACTTATACATCATTACAAGATCGTGTTATTTCAAAATCGTGTACAATGAGACTGCATAAATCGCAATCGCATAAAACTAAATCTTAAATATAAATTAATTTATCAGCAGTGTTCAAAAATAGAATAGTCCTAATGTTTAACAATAGTCAAAGGGTAATAAAAACCTTTGACAAATTATCAATCCATTTATTGAATAAAAAAAAGCTGAGAAAAAACAAAGACAAAGAAATATGCCAAGTAAGCAACCTGTAACATGACAATTGATAATGTTAATATTTTATCTTAATTACTGCAGTTCTATATATTAGTGTAACACAGATCATACAAAATATGCTGTTATATATGAAAGTAACAATAAATAATATATAAAATATAATAAATTGCGAATGGATCGATCTCTATTACAGCGTGGAATAACAGAGAAGTAATTAATGGTGAAGCAATACTTGATTTTTACATCAAAATTATAATATTGATATAATAATTCAATAAAAAATATCTTTGTCTTAAAAACATATGTTGTATCTATCATCAGCACTATTATTATTTTCTCTTTCAAAATACTGTACGCATTGCACATTTTCATATACGAGCACTACTACAAACTTTCTTAATTTGATTTTACATATTAGGATGTAAATTTATTTCTGGTTCATTCCATCTCACTCTGATGATCTATCGTTTATACAAAGAGATTATCGAAGGAATGCAATTTGAATAATAATAATAATACGAGAGATGTTTATGATGGAAACATAATTAACTTCTAAAGGTGTAACGAACCTTCAAAAACATAAAATTTGTAGTAAGTTACTGTGCAAAATGAAGTTCTTAACCAGTTTCTAGTCACCAGTTGGATAATTATCATGTAAAATAACCATAAACACTAATGATCTTGTCACGCTTCCTTTTGAAAATTCTCACTAATTAGCGTGGAATATTTCTTCCAGAATTTGAAATGCGAAAAGATAATAATAATAATAAACATCATTCCTGTTTAAAATAATAGTGAAAACATCCCAATCTTTGATGAAAGTTTGAATAAAAAACATGTTTAAAAGGTAAGATAAAATGAAAAAGAAAATTAGCACTAAAANTAACCTGAGGTACCACTGTATAAATTAACGGCAGTTATCAGTAATTGTATCGCATATTCATTATGAATATTCTAAATAAAGTTTAAATGCTTGATTTTCAATCTTATTTTGTGTGGAAACAGTTTAATTTTTAGTGTCATTAGATGAAATGATATTTAGTATATTCGTCGCGTATTACATTAAAATTCTGCAAATTACACCAGTAACATTATTCAAACAAAATTATAATCGCAGAAGCGATTATACTCGTAAATTAACGATGAAAATTATATCCTATTAATGATTAGAAAATAGTCTAGGTATTTTTAGCAAAGATCCGATAGCGTTTATTAAAATTCTATATTATTCGTTTTAAAGTGTAAATGTCAAAATTTTAGTGTTTGTTCTTTTAACGATAGCACGGATTGTAAAAGGTCGAAAACTTGCCATAAGGAGGTATGTAAAAACAAAGTTTTAATAAAAATTAAATCAAATAATTTGCATAATTGCAATACCTTAGTATGTTGCATTCCAGTATATATTTCTGCAATTAAATTATATATAATTATAAATATTTGTTAGAATGTACTCTTTATTTACATAAAATTAATTATAAATTAATTAAATGAAAAAAATTCTAGCCCAAGAGATATATCAAAAAGCTAATTGAGCTGGGTGGTCTGAAATGTTAATATTTCTGTAACACGTTATGCAACACTAGGTGTAATGTATCCTTATGTTATTGCTTATATTTTACTAACTTGTAAGTCCGGTAAATTCAGTAATTATTTAATAGAGATATTTTTAATCGAGCGATTAGTAGTACATCGTATTTTCTAGCAATATAATTAGAGCGCGAGCTAATTATGTTACAAGTATTTTCACTATTATTTTGAGAAATAAAAACACTTTATTTTCTAAAAGTTAAGAGAATTACTGGTTTGAAATATGTAATTCAAGCAATTAAGTTTTACAAAATATGAAGAGTTAACCTTATTCTAAAATGACTACACTTAAAATGTTTTCGTTTTTTCATTTTTTAATAAGAAAAATGAGTACAATCTGACTTTAAATTGAAAGGCATAATCTTTCTTATCTCTTAATCTAGGTTCTATTATATATATT